CCCGCACTTGCATAAAAGCGAAACACTTGCCACGCGGCCACGTTTTTTTTTCTGCGTTTTCAGTCGTCCAGAAATGCCTCCAAGAAAGTTTTTCCCACTCTCAAAAGCTGACCCCCTTAACAGCAGAAACGAGCCCGAGCATGTGCCAGGAGTTTAATCCGAGTTAGGGTAGGAGTTAAAACGCGAAACGCAACCGCTGGGGGGGCTCTAATATGATAGTGATGAAGATAGACCCCTTGAAGTGCGACTACCTCCGCCTTGCCCTCAACGACATTGCAGAGTGCAGCAAATACCTTCCTCTTCGTCTACTTCTTTAATCAAAGCACAACCAATTCCAGGAATATCCATGCCAACAAGTTTTACAACGTCATCGTCCTCCCTGTTTACAACTCACAAACAGGCACTACGACCACCAATACTCTTGGACAATAAACAGCAGCCGCCGCAAGCTACATATTCTTCATCTTCTTCTTCATTCACCGCTGTACTACCCAAAAATCATACTAACGCTGCGCAAAGTAAGCAGTGCGGTGCTCCCAAAGTAACTTGTTCATCAACTTCACCCCAGCAACAGCTTGGCCCTCGCATCAATTGGAACAATCTGAAGGCAACTACACACGAGATAGAGGTTACTACTACGGGAGCTACTACTTCCTTAGAAGTTACCGACAAGATCACGGGTATTATTAGCAGCGCGAGTATTACTAGACCGAAGCACCGTCGTACTAAGGTTCCATCCACCAAGGACAACCAAGTGAACCAGCGACCATTGTCTGTCATTACTGAAGAACTCCAGGACGTTGCAGTAGCTCATCGCTCCGCCGCAAGTGCCTCAAAGTCCTGCTTGACTTCACCGTCTTCAGCATCCTCTTCAGCCTCGTCATCTTCAAGGTCATCACTCAGCGACTCTACCTCAAGCTCACAGTCTCGCCAAACTTCAAAGAAGAGGCTAGACGACGAATTTGCAGGCAACGGCGGAGAGGTTAAGCAACAAATTAAAGTAACTACCGAAGGGGAAATAGATACAGAGCGGGCACTTAATCTAGAAAGTAAAAAGAGAGCGCATGTCTGGAATCAGATACATCAAACAGACCTACGCTCTTTCTATTTGCCACTGATTAAAAATAGCTCAATAATTCCTAGCTTCAAGAAAGATGCTCTTTCCACCGTCCTTAAAAGTATAGCTTCCTACTTGTTTCCTCATGAGGTGCATCCGTTGTCTGTTACATGGTGCAAATATAATCTGCGCATCATTATGTATATTTTTAATACTACTCGTTTCAGCAAGCACTCTCATGGGAGACTGTTTAATACCACACGGCTTCATGATACTACTATTTCTAAGGTTCTCAAAATAGAACTGAAGCCACCTATACACGATAGTTCTGACAGTGCACAGCGTAAGTTTTGGAGCATGTCCAATAAGTATACCTGTATTAACGAACTCAAGCCTCTTAAGAGACTTTGCCGCATAAGTAAAACCATACGAAGATCGCTAATGCCTACTAATGGTCTATATATTGAGCCGGAAAGTTTTCTTAAGTTGGACCGAGTTAATCTCTATGAAGATAGTATCCCACTAGATTTACGATGGCAGTGGTTCTGCAAAGTTACGGGATTACCAAACCGAGACGAATACTGCCGCCGCCCATGCAGTAACCCGGTTAAGAATCCTGTCGCCAAGCAGATCCCATGTCAGAGCACTCGTTGTTTTCTTTGTAGATTTGACTACTCGCCCTCGTTTCCTATTTATAAGTCTCATTTGCACGCACTGTTCAGGGATAGCCTATCAGTTAAATGCTCAAACGAAACTCACTTCAACTTTGTCTATCTCTGTTCGTGCTCGTGCGGTTTGCATTATATCGGCATTACTACTTCTAATACTGGGTTTACTTACAATCGGATGGTAGGACATGAGCAGAAGATGTGTAGCTTAGAACTTAAAGACCCACTACATGTGCATACTGTTTTGGATTTTCCTACTCATCGACAAGAGTGGCGGATATTGTGGGTTGAAGGGCCAGAAGGTCTAGCTAGTGTAGGCGGACATCGCATGATTAATCTTATAGAGTCTTTCTTTATTGTTTTCTTCAGGGCTTATCATCCGCACGGGCTGAACCAACGCTGGATCTGCCCCGTCAAGCTTAAGGAAATTGACTCAGCAGCTCAAGACAGAGTAGCACTATACTCATACCTAAACACTAAGAACCCTCTCTCTTGTAACTATGACTTTGAGCATAATTTTTTGAAAGCCCTGAATAGTAAGCATTTTCATCAGTGTAACTGCACTTGAGTGCAGAACTTTCTGTAAACTGCTTGCTAGCTGCAAGCGGTGTTGTTGTTGTTGTTTTGCCCAGTGCGCTGCACTGTCGTCGACTAGCGACTCAAACTGTAACTTGTACAAAACTTAGCCAAACTTTCTTTCTGTCCAAGTCAACTAAGTCTAAACGTCCGTCAAATTCTCATCCATGATTATTCGTTCAGGAGGATTTGTCTCAAGAAGGAGTCTCGTCCTGATTCTCTTAGAATCGCTCGTGTCTTGTGCTTCTCGTGTTGGAGCCTTATGCTTCTTCACTTAAGCTCTGTCTTGATGCTTCTTGTTTCAAGTCGTAACCTTTATTCAAGCTCAAAGGATCTTCGTCCTGTATTGTCTTGGGAACTCTGTCAAACAGTCACAAGGAAGAAAGGAAACCGACTTGATTCATGATTCTGAATGTTCTTTCGCATGGATCTATAACAGACTATATGCTGCAAGTCACAGCCGTGCTGTCGTGCTCCTCGCACGTACATCCCCCCGCTGCCACTTTTTTTAGGCCAGCAGGCTGCTTAGCTTCGTGCCAACGGGAGCGGAAAAGAGAGAAAAGAAGTAGAAGACGTGCTTGGCGATCTACTTTGTCTTGTTGGCCTTGTCCCACAAGGGCTGGAGAAGAAAACTGCTTTAGCTGCTGAAAAGAAAACAGGGCTGACTGCTGCGAGCTTATGAGAAGACTGGCTTCGGCTGTATTTGCTCAGCAGCTTTGCTTTTGCTTCCGTCTTGGGAAGCGTGCGCGGGCTGTCTTTTGGCAAATGCACCCGTGTTGCGAAGACCTTACTTGATGGCGCTTGCTCGCCATCGGCTGTAGAAGTTGAAGTTTGTACTTGTTGAGCTAATTCCTGCGTTGCCGAAAAACTCGTTCTGTAAAGGTTGCGGATTCACTGCTTGCTCCGCTGAACTTGAAGGTAAAAACGCTGAATGTGCTTCAGCTCTTGTTGCTTTTTGCTCGACTCGGGTCGCTTCTGATAACGGGCACGCCGGTCTTGAAACTCGAGAAGGTTAGCTGCTACATCGTAGAAAACTTTCGCAAATTGGATCGACTTCCGATAATATGCAACTTCAGTCTTGAAACTCGCATCCGATGCTTGGAAAGGAATACCTGTAGCAGTTTCTGCACAGTAAGAGCATCTGCGAAGTGTGGAAAAACTAACCTTGAGATCACCTTTTATAAGCGGTCTCGCTTCGGGGGTTTTCGTTTTCTTTGTGGCGTGTTCGTGTCGAAAAGAGCCGGCTTTGAAATCTTGAAACTCGGTTATTACACGATCTGAATCCGTTGGGGGAAGGATAACGGGTTCTGCATTGCCGCAGGCTCGGCAAGATGAATCACTGTTGCCGCAAGCTCGGCAAGATGAGTCACTGTCTTTTTTTAGAAATCCAAAACAGAAAAGAAAGGCGGCTTGTAAGCTTCTTGCGGAAGAAGGGTCTCCCGGTAAACGTACTTTCGCTTCACCTTGGCTCTTTTCTTGCTGTTGTCGATTGCTGCATCGACTGCTTCGCGTACTATGAACTTGCCAGTTAGCAGGTTCACTCCCCAACATTCATGCGCCCCGTCCATCAGCAGCTTTGGCTGGTCGAAGATGACTAGCGTGCGAGGCGTGTGACACTTGATGTAGAACCGTGCTGCTACTGTCTTTTCTGGGATGTCATCTGCTGCATCACCCAAAAGGCCCTGCTGGTCTGTGTCGTCGTTGACTGTTACCATCTCGCCGTCGATGAGATGCTTCATCTTGCGGGTGTCAACGATCTTCAACATGCCACCTTGGATGACGTCCGTGACTTGAAAAACCGCCTCGCGGTCTGGTCCGTACTCAAGTGCCCTTTTGCTCTTGTGGGCACTGCGCTCGACGACTAGATCCCCGACAGCGATATCCGTGTGGCTCAACGCGCCTCGACGTGCGAGTGCTTGCTGTGTCGCGTCGCGGTGCTGGTCCTCGTGTCGTGCTGCGAGTCCCTTTCGCATGTCGTCGAGCTCCGCAAGAATATCTGCTGCAGCAGCGGCCGATACGTTGGTCTCCGGTTGGTTGAGTGCGTCTGCGAGCTGACCGTTTGGGAAGAGGAGCTTTTGTCCAGTGGCGTACTCCGCTGGACTCTTGTTTCCGAGTCGTGGGCGTGGTGTGTTGCGACTGAGAAGCTGCAACATCCCGCATAGTCTCGGCCAGCTGCTTTTTGCTCTCCAGCAGGTCTTGAGGATAGACGGCGTGTCGTCGCGGTTTGGTCTTTCTGCCTGCCACTGTCCACGCGCGTTTCCTTTGAGACCAATGGCGAGGTGAACACCACGGCGCGCGAAGCGTAGCTTCATTTCTCGGAAGAAGCCGTCGCCTTTTACTCTGAGCGGCCAGCCTACTTCTGCCCAAACTCGTGTCTCGAGTGCATTCCATGTTTCCTCATGGCTGGTGGACGCAACGGGGATGAGCCAGATGTAGTCGATGAGCTCCTCGACAACCCGGAGGATGCACGTGAATCCGCCTGCGTCCGGTAAGTCCGTGATGTGGTCGATCACGTAGGATCTGAAGATCTCTCGCCGTGGAGGGGCGAAGCCGTAGTTGCGCAGCTCTGCCTCCTTGCGGTGCAACATCTGGCAGTCTACACACGTAGCGAGGACTTCGTCGACAGTGTCCTGCAACCGTGGCCAGCTGAAGTACATAAAGACGCAGAGGTAGGTCTTGTTATTGGAGCCGTGCAAACACCAGTTGTGATGTATGCTCTGCACCACATTCGTGCGGAGGTGAACCGTGCTCGGCAGTACCGGGTCAGCTACGTGCACGTCGGGCGCTTCCTGCTTCGGGATGTACACGCGGTCTTTGTGGAATAGTACTCCGCCGCGGATCGTGAAGTCCGTTAGTGCTTCAGCCTGTCTCTGCTCCTTTGCAGAGCACGCGCCCGCTCCTGAGAGTGCCCGGTAGACGAAACCATATTCGCAGCATGACGCTTGCTTTTGGACAAGTGCCTGCATCTCCAACCCGTGGAGAAACGCCGTCAGCGCCGTAAGTACATTGGTGTTTATCGCTGCCTCCGATGATTCGCGGACACCATATCCACAAAGGATTATCGTACGAGTTGCAAACCTTGCCGGCACTATGACTGCCTGGTAGAGTTGCGTCACTGTTGCTGCTGTAGCCGCTCTCGTAAACGTTGGCGTGACGTTGAGCACTACTAGGCCACTGACTAGTCCGATTTGCGTCACTGCGTCGTGGGGTGCTGCTGGTATAGCACGCAGAAGCTCCGCGTCTCGTAGCTCCAAGAACTCCACACGCGCAGCTTCTTCTTGCTCGTGCGACAGGAGTGCTGCAGCAGCTGGGATTTCGAAGTCTTGTGGTGACACTGGCACGCCCACGCCGTCGTCTGAGCTGCCTGCTTGTTCGGCAACCGTGTCCACACCGCCTCCGCTGCTTTTTGCGCTTCGCACAGCAGCCACTGCCGCGTTCCGGACTTGTATTGCGTCGGCAGCCCGCGGCTCGACTTTCATTGCTGTGTTGTACGCTCCTGCGAATGCACCTGCTGCATATGCGAACTCGAGCTGGAAGTCCGCCCCTGCTTTCTCATACGCAATAAACGTGGCCGCCAGGATCGCGTCTGCTACTGCCTGTGGTGTGACACGCGGCTTGCGGTTGCGTCCACCTCCGAAGAGATGGAAGCGCAGTGCTTGGATTCGGCTGTGCGACGGCTGCTTGTTGTATTCTGCTACCACTGTGACAGCGCTGTGCGAGCACTCGCGCAGAGCGCCGATGAACTCCGGGCGCGTGTGGTCCTCTCCGCTTGGTGCTGCGAGGTACACCATCGCTCGTTTGCTGCTTGCCGGTATCACAAGAGCCGCGGATCCTACTGCCGTCGAGGTCCTGCTTGCTACCGCTGTCATGCTGGCTACACCGGCTGCCGCAAGCTCGTCGCCGTCTTGAAAGGTAGCTACTGATCCTGGTTTGCGTTGTGCGACCTTTTGGAGCTTCTTCATCGCTTTTTGGAGGTCCTTGACTGCGACGCCGGCGTCCGCTAGCTCGGACGCGAACTGCTTGTTGAGACCGTGCGTTCCGCCTAAGAACATCTTTCCGTTGCCGCCGTTTGTTGCCGCCATCAGATCCCCTGCATCGTTATCAGGTGGGAAGAGCGGCGTATGCCCGTCGGGCTTCGTGTCTGCTTGCTGGCACATAGTTGTGCTTTCCGGGACTGGCACATCTGCCGTCTGCCTTTTCCCAGGCGGCCCATGCTGTGTTCTGTACGTGATGGCGTAGGCTGGAGTGGATGGCTGCTCGGCGCTGTGCTGCACACTTGTGTCCGCTTCGTTTTGCGACTGTGCCTGCTCCGCTTGCTCGGAGCCCCCGGCAGCTGGGTTTGACTCACCTGGCGACGAGTCTTCTGCGACGCCAAGTAACGCCGTAAACAGAGGCTTGGCAATCTCGTCATGGATGTCCGCTGGGACTCTGCGCCACGCCGTCGGGGCCAGAGGCGCTGTTGCTATCGGTGGGCAGTACTCCTCTACAGGTGCAGCGAGTAGTCCGTGGCCCTTGCATGTGCAATATTTGATGCCGTTCGCCACTACGTCAATTGTGTAGTTGTCACAGGCGACACTGTCGTCGAAGAAGACGTTCTTCAGGTTTACCTTCGCCAAGACTGCCTTTAATGGGTTAGACTTGTGTAGCGGAGCAATAATGGCAAACTTCCTTACGGAATCGCCGTGGTATCCCTCCGTTAGGTCCTGGTCTTCTTCACGCCACCGCGCGCCGATGCACCGCCGCGCAAACTTGAGTGCCTCGCGATAGGCGTTCGACTCATCTCCATGGACAGACCGCGAAAACCACTTCGTGACCTTTCGTTTTTCTCCATCTGCGATTACCTCGATGTCGAGCACGTAGTTGCAGTAGACATATCCGGTCGCGACGTTCCTGCTTTCGACTGCGTATAAACGCAATGGGGTCAACGTCACTTCCGGGTCCTCGCAGAGTGAGTCGAGGTCCAGCGGTCGTCTCTGCTGCTGCTTTGAAGCTGGCTTTTTTGCAGCTTTGACTGCTGCCACCTTTTGTCTCACGGCACCAACTGAAGCAGCAGCGTCTGTGCTATCGATTATTTCGATATCCGGTTCCTCCGACCACGCAGTGGCCTCGTCTGGCGCTAACTGCTTGACAGTCGCCGCATGCTCGGCGATTTCGCTTTGCGCTAGCTGTTTGACGATTGCCGCGTGCTCGGCCGAGGCCTGCTTCACTTGTCCGTCTCCTCTTGCGAGACTCGTGATCATCGCCGGCTGCTGTTCCTCCATCTCTACCGCCAGTTGCTTGACGGCAGCCGCGCTCGTGTCTGTCTCGACGATCAGCTCGTTGTCCTCGGGGCAGAAGAATTGCTTACGTAATTCTTGGAACGTCGTGTACCAGTTCGGATCTGTTCGGATCTTCGGGGAGAGAAGCCAGTACAGCATGACCCTAGCTGACGCCTGTGCCTTCTCCGGAACTGCTTGTAGCTCCGGCAGCTCTCTCTCGTCGTACAGGCGCGAGCCGCCATCCGCGAAACGGAGCGCAATCCCGGCGCAGTGATACCAGTATACTAGTGGGATCATGTGCCTGATTTTGTCGATGTCCCTCTTTGTGCGTTCGTCAACGTTGACTGTCCTCAGGCTTCTCTCTAGCTGCTCTGGTCCGTTCGACAGGTGGTCATGCATGATCACGACGTCATATCCTTGGACTTTCGGCCACAACTCTAGCGCGAAGACTACAATGGCGCGTAGCTCTCGGCTCTTTGCAGGCCAGTTTTGTTCCTCGATCCAGGAACGGCGGAGGACATCATGACAGCGAAATTCCCACTTTCCGTCCTCCTTGAGGTAGCACCCGAAGAGCCCGATTTGGTATGCTTTCTTACTTGAGTCAGATACGGTGTAGAAGTGATGCACATTCGCGAAGTCATACGGGAAAATGGCAAGCGTGTCGTCGACCTTCCCGACTAGAGTTGCATACGCTCTCTGTGCCAACACGTCCTTGCTGAAATGTCGTATGTCTTTGTGGTCTTTTGACTTTTTATCTAGAGCGTATGGTCGGAGCGGGGCGACGATGTTCTGGTATCCGTAGATGTAGCTGCGAATGCCTTCCCAGCCGGTCATGTTGAGGAGGCTCTGGATGCACTCGCGTGTTGGTTCCAATTTCCACGTACGTAGTTTGCCATAGGTCTTCTCGCCGATGGACAAGCCGCCATCCTTCGTAGCCGTCATGCCGCGCCTCTGGGACGTGTCACGCCCGATCTGATGTTTCTCGAGCGAGAGACGGAAACCCGTTAACATCGCTGCGACTAGCACGCGTGAGTCGTTGTCCACCACGTCGTTCTCTCGCCACGTCGTTCCGTGCAGGTTGCACGTGATGCCACTGCTTTTGGACTCCCACTGGACTCTTATGGTCCGGGGGCGGTACAACTCGGCGGAGACGGGGACAATTGCGCTAGTTGACGCTATTTTTTCCTTGTCGAAATCCTTTGGAATCTCAAAGAGATGGAGGATCTCACCGGTATCGTCGTCGTATGTGACGACACGCCAGAGCTTCTCCCATGTGTCATCGTCAAAACTGGTTCGCCACACTACCGTCGCGAAGGCATCTACTATGCGCACCGTGATGACGCTTGCTGGCTGCTCAACCGCGACTGCAGCTGCCAGGCCGACAGTCTGCTGTCCTGGTGCTGGCAAAACCGACTCCGCCCGCTTGCTCAGGTCGAAGCCAATGTTGTACACGCCCGCTTGCTCGGACGCGCTGCGCAGCACTGTCTTGTAGATTTGCTTGTGTGATTCGATCGTAGCTGCGATCTCCTTTGCTTTGAACCGGAATGGGCCCTGCATCTGTGGGTTGAGCGGGACCCCGGTGACCTTGGCAAGCTCTTTCTCTGTGTCTGGCACTTGCTCTGTTGCGTCGAGGGAGTATCCTGGGCGATCGATGACGAGGATCGGATATCGTTCGACTGGATCAGAAATTTCGCATGCGACTTGCTGGAACTCGTCGTCTGCCGACGACGCAAGGTCGTCGACATACTGCTCGGTGTCGCACGTCCCGCGGCCACTTTGCATCATTGCGAATGTCGTGGAGGCCTTGGAATTGAAGTTGTGCGGATTCTGCTTCGGGCCGAGGCCACACGTGATTGGTCGCATCAGCGGCATATCTGGTAGGCCCGTTTGCCACGCCGCTAGACGGCTGGTCTGCGTCGACAAGCGGTGCGAATGGAAGCCGAGATGGCAATCGGTGTCAGTCTTGAAGCGGCGGATCTGCTTCGTCTGATTGATCGCCGGCGTCGCTGTCCAGCACGGCGTGGTCGTGAGGAGGTTGTGGCCGACATAATCGATCGCAACTCGTTTTTCTATCTTCCCACCACGCTCAACTAGCATGCCTGAGCTGACGATAATCGGGAGGCCGATTGTGTTTACCGTGTTCCAGTCGTACGGTGCGTCCTTGTTGAGGCGCACTGCTTGCCGCACATGATAGCCCATGGCCACCGACTGATACTCACCATGTCGCACGATACGCCCCACGCATCCTGTTGCGCCCGGAATTAGCGACCATCTGGCTTCCGTCCCCTGCAAGCGCGCGTCAGGTCGTCCGTTGCAATAGAAGGCCATGCGGTGTCCTGCCGAGGCTTCGGCACGCGCCCGCGTTTCGACGTCGATTTCGGTTGACATCGTGGTCCTGTAGTGGCTCTGCACTTTTTGGCGAAGCTGCTCGTCCGTAACCGGGTCTGCGCCTTCGTCTTCTAGTGTGCGGATTCGGTCTCGCAAGCTATCGATAGCTTCCTGGGTTTTTGTATTCGTGGACAGCATGCGTTTTTCCGTCTTCGACAGCTTCACTGACGGCATGCTTTCGTCGACCTCGGGGATGAGCGCCTGGAGCACCTGCGCTGGGTCTCCCAGAGGGCCTTTCGCCGGGCCGCTGGCCGTCTTCACCGTGTACTCGTCTTCTGAGAGGCCTAAGACTGCGGCTCCTAGGCCTTCATTGACCAGCGTGACCGAAGCCGGTGTCGGTTGCCTTCGGTTCGTTGGGTTGGTCTGCGGTAAGATCAACGGCGTAAAAAACAGGCCACGCTTGATGAGCT